CTCTTCCGAGCTTCTTCTTCTTTGCAAGGACCTGCTTGTCGACGATTTTAATGGCGTAAAGCAATGGATGGACGTCGCCGCCGTGTTCATCACGGAGGCGGCAGAGGTATACATTGCCAATGTCGCCGGAGCCTATACGGCGGAGGAGTTTAAAATCTTTGGGACCGAGACGACCGGTACCGCGGGAGCGAATGGCCGCCCAGGCGGCGTCGGAGGAGCGATGGGGCTTGGAAGAGGAATCCGGCGGAGGAGCGGCGGCGGCGTCGAAGGAAAGACGGGAGAAGCTGCTGCAACGCTCGCAGCTGCCACTGCTCATCGAGCTCTGGCTCGAGTTAACCGTTTCGGAGCCGATTTCTCCGTCGGAGTCCGGTGATAACTCGATCATCTTAAAACAGGGGAGCTCTCTGTGATGGAGGAAGAAGAAAGGAGGGATTTTGGGTTCGTTTTTGAGTTCAAAAAAGGGAATGGAAAGGAGGGAGGTGAAGTTTGAATTGGAAGAGAGGTTCTATTAACTCATGGCGCTTTGGAATCGAACATGTGAGAAGAATGAGTGCGCCGAAAGAAGGAGAAGGGGAGCGAAGGAGAGGATTCGTTGGAAACTTTTGGAAGCTTTGCCGCATAAATTCATGAATCCGACATAGAGAACAAAGAAGAAAGAGGAAAGGATGGGAAAGTGTTTCGAATTTTTAGGGTATTTTAAAGGAATAATGGTTTAGAAGAAGATACAGCAACAGGAACCGCCTGCCAAGCTTCCTCTCAGGCTCTCTTTCTCTCCCTCCGCTTTCGCTGTCTCTAAGCGAGCACTGCTGAGAATAATTGCATATTTATGCCAAGGGCCAGAGACAACCGAGCAGAGTTTTTGAAGAAACATGAATATAATTTTCTATTTAATGAGTCTTAAGAGCTAAAATATTATTGATATATGAAATTGCACACTAAACGCTTGTCACTTGATTCTTATGTATTTATACAATTTATATCTAAATTTTAATATACAAACAAAATATTAAATATAAAAATGTGTCATTTTTTAAAAACTAAAATAATGATTTTTGTAGGGTTTTATACATGTGGAGGTCCCAAACATTATAATTTAAAGGTAAAGGACTCAAAACATATAAATTACAAGGGACGATCTCTCTCCCTTTCTCTCTGTCATCGTCAATGCACAGCGAAACATTCCCTGTCTTATCTTCTCCATCTTCACCTCCACCCATTTCCCATGCCTTAGACACTCTCACCTCTTAAACACTCCCATTTTCTACACCAGCACCCCCTGAACTCAAACCCTCTCCTCCCCTTCACCCTCTTCGCCCTGTTAACATCAAGTACGATTCGTTTTGATGAGCTTGATGAGCAAGTTGACGACTTGGAATTCATTCCATAATTTCATTTGAGGATTACATTGGCCAGTTGGGTGGCTCTGAGTTATCGAGGCAGAGGAGCTTGAAGGAGTCATCTTGTACAGTTATGTGAAACGTGGCGATGGAAAAGAAGATGTCTTTGACCATGAAGCTGCAATCGCTATCGTTTGAACATCAAAGGAGAATGGTGTGGCAGAACTCCTGCATTTGGTATTTGTGGAATATGATTCTTGTGGAGGAATTTTTGGTGAAAAAGATTGCTACTTTGAAACATTTGGAGGTGACATTGTCAAAGGGGAACAGGTTGCGGGTGAAGTCTTTGATGAGGTCGCGGAAGCTCTGAAGTTGATAGGATAGGGTTACCATCTAGTGATGTTGATCTTTGAGGCTGTGGAGCACGGTGGATTTGTACCGGTCTGAGACAATTCCAACGCAGAGGGTGGCAGGGCTACCATCTTTGCCTTTGTTGGAGACGTTTGTAACAGAATCCCAAAGCATGTTCTCAGCATACTTTCTTAGAATGTGGCCGTCAGAGATGAGTGCACGGTGGAAGATTGTGGTTCTATTTAGGAGACTGATCCCGATATTTTGTTATATGTAAGGATTTATGAAGTTGACACCACTACTTGAAGATTTTAATCCCCGACAATGACACCAAAAACTTGATCTCAAACTTCAAACTTGATCCTAAGCAAAAAGTAAGATTTTAATTATATTTTTACATAGTAGGTATTCTACGCAAGTATACGTATCGTTATCAAGTAGTATAGATCTTTCTGATTAAGCCCAAAATATCAAACCCACGGAGATCGAGGTTAATCACGACAACTTTCAAGATAAGTTCTAGTCTAGAATAACACGCCCTAGCTTGGAAGGTCGATAAATGTTTGGTTTTGATTATATCCTACATTTATCACTATAATAATACTTCTACTCCTAAACTAAAATACTTCGTGAAAATCAGAAAGTGGGGTTTAATATATTCAAAGTACTCTTCCTCATACAATGAAATTAGTGACATGTGTAAAAGTAAAACAAGTTGCGGGAGAGATTGTGAAAAATAAGAGCAATTATATTCTTTACCATTACTAAAGATGCTATAAAGAACATTGGTTAATCTAAAGTTTGAATAGTTCTGAAGACGGGCTATGCAGAGAAGATACTACCTCTCACTCTAAAGTTCCCTCTTATCCCTCCACCTGTAGGCTAACATCTCGCATCAAAACCTAAAATAATAGACCAAATTAGGGGGCTTTAGCCTGTCACTCTAAAGTCCTCTAATTCTACACCCATTAAAGATTATTTTCATATTTATTTACACTCAAACATATGGACTACATTCTCATCCATATAATCTCATGTGATTTTACCACAGTTGATTGAGACAACACCATCCCGGATCTTACATGTTCTTACAACATATTTTAACAGGCAAATTGATCAAGTTTACATGTAAATGAAGAACAAAGTAAAATCATCATAATATATTTTCACTCTACACAATTCTATATCATGCACATACATACTAATTCATTACAAGAGGGGAGAGTAAGGAAAACTACTCACTACACATGGAGAAACAACAAAAAATTTTTATTGAACAAGACTTTGAAAACATACAAACAAATTACTAAATTCAAATCAAAATATAATGAAAAAACTTATCTCTAATGGAAATCAAACTCTTCTTATATAGCAAAAGCAATCTCCTTACAATCCTCTCCAAGAACAAAGTGAAAAGAAAAGAAGAAATTCTCACACTCTCTCTTTCTCTCTCACCATGTCGCCCCACTGCCCAAGCCTTCTCAAGCCTTCTTCTTCTTCTCTAAGTCTTCTTCTCCTCTTCTAATTACTTCAAGAGTTTAAGAGTTTTTAAGAGAGTTTTTAAAAATATTTCCTAGCCTTATTTATAATTTCTCAAGAGCTTCTTAAGTGTCTCTTCAAAACTGTCTAGATTCAATGAATCTTCCAAATGGTGCTTCAAGTGACTCTTCATAACTCCATATAACCACCCCAAATTCTTCTAGAAAGTAACTTTTCTCACTTACAATGAATTACCGAAGAGATGCACGAAGCACCGCTTCAAAAATTGTCCAAATCCGACGTATATTCTAGAAAATATGTTGAAAACCGTCTCTGGCGCCTAAACGCCATATTTGGGTGCTTAAGCGCCCTCCTCTCTATTTGGGTGGTGCCTAAGCGCCATATTTGGACGTTTAAACGCCGGCCACAAGAACTTAAGTGCCCAGCTTTAGTCCCCATGGCTCCGGTGTGCCCCGATTTGATCAGATTTGCTTCGGTTTGCTCTGTTTTTATCCATTTTTTGTTCCTTTTGCTCTGATCGCTCTAAATTCTTTAATTTGATGTACCTAAAACCAAAAACACAAGAAAAAATATCTTTAAAGTGCAATATCATTAACAAGAAAAAAGAAAAAATATCTTTAAAGTGCAATATCATTATAAAATAAAACATGAAAAATAGTACATTTTTAGGTGTATCAGAGACCTTCCTTCGTAATTTATAAGTTCTGAGGCCTCTACATGTAAAGTATGAAATTATCATGTTTGAGAACCTCCCTATGTAAAAACCCCTATTCCTTATGTAACGATATTATGTATATCCTCAATATAATGTAATGATGCTCTCTGAAGATGGTGTAATAAGGCACCATGAAGATGGTGACTTTCTCCAAACTCAAAAAACTCCCTCTCGTACAACTTATGATTCTGACTCCCACGGACTACAAATGTCATCATAGCTCACTATTACGACCCACGTGGCCAACTATGACCTAAGTGGTACTCTTAACTCCAAACTAAGTGGCTTACGGATTTCAAACGACTAACCACTATGACCTGTGATAAATATAACCTACACGGCTTATCGCTCGTGCGACTCTTAACTCCGGCCCTTGTGGCTTACAAACGTCATCACAACCCACCATTATGACCAACATGACCAACTACGACATATGTGGTTTATAGTTCATGCAACTCTTGACTCTGGCCCCCACGACCTACGGACGTCTGCACAGAGCACTATTATGACATACATGACCAACTACGAACTACGTGATCTATAGCTCATGCAGCCCCGAATCCGACCTCTGCGGCCTATAGACATCATCACAACTAATCACTGCGACTTATGTGACCAACTAAAATCTACGTGGCTTACAACTTGTGTAGCTCCCAACTCCTGCCTTTGTAGCCTACAGACAACATCACAGCTCTCTACTACAACTTATATGATGAACAATGGAGTATGTGGCCCACAGGTCACACAACCGCAATATCGATCTTTATGGCCTACAAACATTATCGCAACTCCCCACTACGACCTATGTGACCAAGTATGACCTACGTGGCTCACATTTCCTGCAGCTTTCTACTACGTCTTATGTGGCCAACCATCTATGACCCACACAATCAACTACTATCATAACTTTCAACTACAACCTATACAATAAGCACACTACAATCACCATTTACTATATTTACGGCGGACTACTGCCTCCATAACACTCGACTACGACTCTTACAATATAATATCACTAAGAACTAGATTCATTACAACCAGACTATGACTATTATTGATGAACCACAATTGTACATTACAATGACCATCTTTGTAGCACAATATTTCCTAATTCAAGAGAAAAGTGATACGTGTACTCACCGTTCATAGCAGATCATTTCAACTGTGCTAGGTCCTGTGTTTTTTCCCATTTCCAGGGTTTTCCGCATAAAAATTTGAGGTGTCTTTTTCTGCTTACTTCTCTTTTATTATCTAAGATGTGTGTTGGAGTCTTTTACAATGTTAAGATGACAATTCATTACTCTACTGCCACAGACCTTCTTACACACATCAACATGTTACACATGTAAATACATAAGAATTGAATGGACATGCATGTAAATGTGAAGTTCAGGTGTTAAATATTTAAAAGGATAAGAATTGAATAACATAGGAATTGCATGGTATGTATGTAATTTTAAGTTTAGGTCTCCAACAGTAAAAACGTAGGAATTGCATGGCATATATGTGAAAATTTATCAGGTGCTTAATGTGTAAGCATATAAGAATCGCAGGGTATTCATGTAGAAATTGAGGTTTAGGTTTTAAATGTGTAAATACATTGGAACAAGCGTTATTTATATAAATAAGAAGTTGAGGTGTTAAATATGTAAATACGTAAGAATTGAATGGCCATGTATGCACATATGAAATTCAGATGTTAAACATGGGAGGCTGTTATTCATTTACTTAATTATTTAATTCGGCTAGGTTTATATTTATTTAGTTAAATTTAAGGTTAAATTATTAAGATTAATTTTAATTTTAAATTAGAGTATGTTTAAGTTAAATTTAGAGGCTTCGAATCCTTCACTCGCCCCTTTTCTTGCCGCATGGAGGCTTTCTTTGGAGTAGAGTATG